CTGTGGCCTCCAGGTTCTGGTCTTCACGATGCGGGGGTCTCCGCAGGCTCCCCAGCTCTGGCCTCCACGATGCGGGGGTCTCTGTGGGCTCCCCAACTCTGGCCTCCACGATGCAGAGGTCTCCGTGGCCTCCAGGCTCTGATCTTCACGATGCAGGGGTCTCCACGGGCTCCCCAACTCTGGCCTCCATGATGCGGGGGCCTCCGCGGCCTCCAGGTTCTGATCTTCCTGATGTGGGATCTCCGCGGGCTCCCCCAGCTCTGGTCTTCACAATGTGGGGGTCTCTGCGGCCACCCCCCCACCCCCCAGCTCCGGCCTCCACGATGCGGGGGTCTCCGCGGGCTCCCCAGCTCTGGCCTCCAAGATGCGGGGTCTCTGCAGCCTCCAGGCTCTGGTCTTCACGATGCGGGGGTCTTCGCGGGCTCCCCAGCTCCAGCCTCCACGATGCGGGGTCTCCACGGGCTCCCGGGCTCTGGTCTTCACAAGGTGGAGTCCATGAGCGGCTACCCAGCTTCATCTCCTCACTGAGGGCTTCACCTCAACAAGTAGAAATCTGCCTGGTCCCCACTCGTCCTACCACAAGTCCTGTCCCCCTTCACTTCGGGGCTGACCTCAAACACAAACCCCGTGTCCCCAGAGTGTTGAAAAGAGCAGCAATAAGCAAGCCGCTTGCCTCACCTGGCGTGTACAACAACACGTCCACGGCGTGTGGGAAAGTCTCTCCCGCTGAAGGATTTATCTTGTGCTTCAGGGTTTCCGAGGTTGTCTTTGGAACCGTCGAGGGCACTGAAATGCAAGCACTCTGTTAGTCTCCCCCAGCCTGGGCACTCCGCGCTCTGCAGGAGCTTCGTACACTTGACACCAGACGTTAGAGTAAGGCTTCCCCCTCCGGGCAGCCTCCCTCCCTTGCTCTGTGTGCGGACCGCCGGCGAGACCGGGACGCCGCTCACGTCCCAGCTGGGAACTGTGTGAGCTGACCTCTGTCTGCACTCAGCCATCACCGATTACCCACCAAAGACAAGACCTAAAACGTTTCTCAGTGACTAAATAGTCTCAAGACAAAACCAAGACAACTAGCCCGAGAGCAGTCTCAGCCTGGGCGCCATGGACATCTCAGGCCATAGGTGTGGCTGCTCTGGGGACCGACCTGTGCACCGCGGGACAGTCAGCAGCATCCCGGCCTCACCAGGAGATGCCGGTAGCGCCCCACACAATCACAGGGGTCTCCAGCATCCCCAAATGCCTTCCTGCCGGGATGGGGTGCGGAACTTCATAGAGATTAATTTTTAGACCTCCCATCATGAGTGGACTCCAGGCTACTAACCGAAGCCTGGGCTTACTGCCTTTACCTCATTAAGCTGTGCTCACCAGCGAGCAGTTCTTGTGGGTGACAAGGCGTCAGGGACACCGAGCCTAGACAACCTGCCTTCACCATATGGAACAGGGTGGACGACAATTAAGAGTGAGCTGGCAGGTGTTGGCGACCACCAAGGTGACGGTGTGCCTCGTTCATAAAGGAGTCGGAAGGCTTTTGCAGAAACTCTTGACGAAGGGGAGGCCTGAGCTTGGACTGAGATAAACAGCTGAACTGCAGTGTTGGATTTTGTTCCTAATGAAAAAATAACAAGCAACCCACGTCTATTTCCAGGACTGTTGACAAGAGCTCCTCCCAGTCGGCTGGTGTTGTGGTGACCAGAGCATCCTGCCCGCTCCCAGGAAAGGGGGCTCTGGGGCAGGGGGGTTCCGGGACACATGGGGGGTCTGGGAAAGGGGGCTCCGGGGTGGGGATTCCGGGACACATGGGGGGTCTGGGAAAGGGGGCTCCAGGGCGGGGGTGTCCGGGACACATGGGGGGTCTGGGACCAGGGAGCATCTGGGGCCTCATAGTCAGTGACAGACGTGGGAAAGAGCAACATGTGCCAAAGCGAATGAACACTTAACCAAGGTTCGTTTTTTCTAGATCTGGAAAAACATTTTAAAAACCAGAATCTCCAGCTATGCACCCAGGAGCTATGACAACATCCCCAAACAAAACCTGTCCACGAAGTGTTCACAGCAGCATTATTTGCAACAACCAAATGGTGCAAACAACCCAAACGGTCAGCTGACGACGGATGAACACAGTGGTCCATCCGCACGGTGGAATATTATTCAGCCACAGGACGGAGTGACACGGGACACCTGCTTCAGGGACAGACTCTGAAAGCACTGTGCTAAATGAAAGAAGGACACATGCTGTAGGATCCGTGTATATGAAATGCCCAGAACAGGCAAATCCAGAGAGAGAGAGTGGATCAGTGGTTGCCTGGGGGCTGGGGGTGGCTCCTAAGTGTACAGGGTCTCTTTCTGGGGCGATGAAGATGCTCTAAAGTTCACTCTGCTGGGGCGCCTGGGTAGCTCAGTCAGTTAAGCGTCTGCCTTCGGCTCAGGTCATGATCACAGGGTTCCTGGATCAAGCCCCGTGTCGGGCTCCTCGCTCAACGAGGAGTCTGCTTCTCCCCCTCTCTCTGCCGCTCCCCCGGCTCCTGTTCTCTCCCTCTCTCTCTGTCAAATAAATAAAAATAAAATCTTTAAAAAAAATAAAGTTCACTCTGCTGATGCTGCACAAGTCCGTGAATACGCCAAAACCATGGAATTGTAGACCCTCCCTGAGTATGGTGTGTAAATTCCATCTCAGTAAAGCTGTGATTTAAAAAACAGTGCATACAAACAGGACCACAGATGGTCTTTAAAACACCCCTACGTGGTTCGCCTGTTTCATGAACTTGATGTTGTTGGTGGACCTAGCACAGGGCGGCCGTGGCGCGGAGTGATCGTAGCAACAAGCAGTCCTCTGTATTCTCTCCTTTATAAAGCAAATCATAAAGCCGTTGGCTTTAGATCATTTAAAAGTTGAAATAAAACAGAGGTATCTAAAATGATACATAAAGTTATTCTTACCCATTTGCTGTTTCCTAGACTTGAAAAATCCACCCCCTGCCAAATAAAAATAGCCCACCGCCAACCTCTCTCTGAATGGCTTCCAGAATGTGAGAGCCAGATTCAGATCTACATGCAGGTGATCAGAGAATTCCTATCTGGGGAAACCGACCACATCAAGGGGAAGAAAAGATCCGTGCACCCGGGGGCCTCCGCTCAGGCTCCACTTGACACACCGACCACGCACACAGCTCTCTGGTGGGCGCATTCCCCACGGCTGAGCGCTGGTGACCTTGCCAGGGGCTCCACGAGCCACTCAACAGCCGTCCACAAATCCCTATTCCACGTAACCAGCTGGAGATCTGCTGCTGGCAACTGGGAATCCTGACAAACGACACCCAGCGTTTGTGGGACGTCACTCAGACCTCAAGCAGGAAGTCCCTCCATGGGCGTCGGTACGCACAGAGCGCCCGGGAACGGGCGAGCAGAAGGACGTGTGCTACTCAAACATAAACGTGTAAAAGTGTAAAAGGAACAAAGTGAGAAATTCGGGATTCGGAAAAAAGTGATGTCAACCGGGTAAAAGTACGGAAGCCACGTTCGGGACCACGGCTGTCGAATGCGTGCTGCGCTTACTTTCGCTCTTCATCTTATCGAAGTAAGACAGCTTGGAAGCGGCGTAGACGGCACCAGACGACTGCAGCGTGCCGACCACGGCGTCCATCAGCAAGACGTGCGTCAGCGCCTGCTGGACGTACTGAGGGTCCTGCGGGAGAAAGGCGCTCATTTCAACAAGTCCGTAAAGCGCCTGCGAGACTTCGGGACGTTACATCAAACCACACCTTTGAAGAGGCGTGTTTTTTCAAGGCAACTCGGTTTACGTTTGGAGCTGATGTCATATGACTACTTTTGTCCATCTTAGTGAAGACAAACACCGCTCATTTATACACACGCTGGCAAACGTGTTCTGCAAAGGGCCAGGCAGCTAATAATACTCGGGGCTCCGTGGGCCTTGGGATCTCTGTGGCAACCACTCGGCTCCGTGGCCGGGCTCGAAAACAGCCAGAGGTGGTCCGTGGCCCGCGGGCTCCAGTTTGTACTGTTGTGCAAAATACAGCAGCAGGCATAAATCAGATGGCTGGTCTGAAAGTCACGGAGTACTGGGGCCCTGGAAAGGACCTGGTCCCCCTCCCTTCTCCAGATAGAAAGACTCCCTCCGTAGCCATGGTCTAGGCCCCCCAGGGCCTGGCGACTCCCTCACGAAGGCCAGTGCTCCCACCACGCGCAGTCTGTTCTTTCTAGTGTTCGCCCCTGTGGCAGTGGCTACCTCCCCCACCTTTCCTCTGATGACTGTGGGCTGTGCACCCCTCTGCGGCTCCTGACCTGCCCCGTGTGTGAGTCCCCATCCGTGCTCTGCGCATTGGGTTGTGGGCTTTCCGGCCTTATCTGCCATTTAGACAGTACAGACCTCTCGCCCCACCGGTGCCCCGTCCGGGCCTCTGTCCATGGTGCCCTTCACGCCCATGCAATCCTCACTCTGTGTACTCAAAGCTACTGTGGCCCAAAGCAAGTGAAAGCACACAAATCCCTAGGCTGTAAAGTCTATCGGAGGACGTGCCCCCTGCCAGAATCCTAGTCCTGGGAGGTAGAAGAGGAGACGCCTGGAGCAGGGTGTGCCCGGGAGACCCAACTCAGACCTCAGAGGCCAGCCCCAGTCCTTCCACAGTGTCCCCAGATGCCACTGGCCATGCACTGGGCCATGTAAACCACGGCATCTCCAGGGCCTCTGGAGGAACCTCGTCTAACCCGACTCGTGCTCACGGGACCACGCCCGAGCCCCCAAGATGAGCCGTGAGTTGGAATGAGCAGCCACCCGCGTCCCCCAGACCTTGTGGTCGTCAGCCAGCTTCTTCCCGGCCCACATCTCCTTCACCATCAGGTGCCACAGGTCACACTCCGTCTTCAGATTAGCTTCAAACACTTCTTTCTTGGATGCCATTTTAATTTTTAAAGTGGGTATTCTCAGAAGCAGAAACGCTACAGTGGTACTTCTCACTTCCTGCGGAGGCAGAAAAAGAAGAAGCAGGTCAGAGAGATGCCCCGTGGCAGGAACTCGGGGGTCAGGGAGGGAAGGTGGCTCAGCAGCCGGTGCCTGAGTATGAAGGCAGGCCCCGGACCGAGGGTGCAGAGTGGGGGCTGGCCGGGGTGCGGTGCAGGGAGCCCCAGGCAGAGCACGGCCCTGGGCGGGAGGAGAGGGACGGCCCGAGAGAGGGGCCTCCGTGCGACCCTGCTGTCAGACACTGGTCCCAGGGGGTCGGGGACCCAGGCCCGTGTCCGAGGACTCACGGGCCTTCCTGGCCAACCACAGGCATGACCGGTTAGCACATCCGCACAAAGGCGCTCGTCCGCAGGGTTCAAACAGGGTTCATTCCTCTGCCTCCGGAAATGCTTCTCTTTCTTTGGAATTCCGGGAGGCAGTCTGTGGAAGCAGGTATGGGGGGGGACTAGAGGACGGGGGGGGACCCACGGGCCAGCGTTCACCGCGGCTGCAGTACCTTCCTGCCTCTCCCGTCTCCAGGAGTATTCAGAGCTGGATTAACACATCCAACATGCCTCTCGAAATAAATATAACGCTTGAGATGAAGCCACAGCTGAGTGTCCTCAGTGGGGAAGACAACCCCTTTACACTCGAAGGGGCACCTCAAGTTAGCAAACAGCACAATCCAGCAGCTGCGCTCTTACCTCTATGTTCCTGAAGGTGGAAATCTCCACGTAGCCTGGTCTCCCTTCCGTCAGGAGGAACAGGCGCTTCTGGGTCATGGCGATCTTGCCCACGCCGCGATTCGTTTTGACGGAGCTCGACAGCTTATAAACACACTCGTTCTTATCCAGATGCTCCATCACCGACAAAGGCAGACTGACCTCCTGGGCCTCTGCTTCTGCCTCCTTCCAGCAGTTGTAGAAATCTTTGAATGTTTCTGGGTCAATCTGTTTCTGGTGTCCTTGGTTTTGTAGAGAAAAGAGATTTCTTAGAGCCACATACACAGCCCTTGCGCGGGAGAAGACGCGGTGCGCTGTCCACACAGGCCAGCAGGTGGCGCCAGCACCCACGTCTCCCACCCCAGCTGTCTGCCCAGGATGGGCACCCAAACCACGGGGTAGGGGCTGCCCTGTGACCTGAGCCCAGCAGCCACGGTAACTCTCGGGACACTCTTTTTACGGTGGCAAAGCCCTGGGTCACCACTAGACCTGGCGGCAGGCATCGTGGGGCCATGAGGGGAGCTAGCCCTCAGATGAAGCTAATGCTAAAGAGACCAGACCCTTGGTGACCCTCCTCCATCACTGGATCAAGCTTTGCCTGAAGCTAACCCTATCTCAGTATTCTTTGGTTACGTGAGCAAATAAGTCTTATTTGTAACCAAGATGAACTTGAAACAGCAACGTTTCTAAATGCCCGACAGTCATGGGCTCTGAGTTAGAGAGAGACCCAAGTCTGAAGCCCCGCTTTCCTGGTTAGCGGTGGGACTTCAAGCAAGCTGTATAACGGACCCGCTTGCTCATCCGTACAGCGGAAATGGGACCACCCCACTCCCACTCCACCTGACTGCCAAGAAGTCCTGCCCATCCTGACGCCCACGTTTCCCTGTGTCTGTGGCTGCAGTGGCCGGGTTCCGCCTCTGCTCCGCATTCCTCGGTCACGCGGCGGCCCCTCCCGTCCTGCACAAACGCCCACACGGCCTCCCAGCTGCTGCAGCCGGCGCCCGGAATGCCCTGAGAAACAAGTAGGCGCCCCCTCCCGTTCAAACACTTCAGGGCTCCTCCTCTACACCAGGCCCCAAATCCTCCAGGACTGGGCCCCTGGGCCCTTTCACACTCCCACGTTCCAGTCACACCGAGTATATCCCAAAACAGGCCCATGTCAGGTGCCTCTGCACACACTGGCCGAGGGTGCTCGGACCAGAAAACTCCTACGCATCCTACGCAAGACCCAGATAAAACAGCTCACGTGCTCCCTTCCCTGAAGCTGCACACGCATTTCACTCACGTACCACTCCCCACAACACGGGGTCCCACTCAATCCTCCCACCCCCTCAGGAGGCAGGCACCGTTAGGCTGTTCACAAATCGGGAAACCGAGGCACGGGGAGGAAAGCCGTTGCTGGCACGCTAAGTGTGGAGCCGGGCCCGGCTGTGTGTGTGGGTGGCTCTGCCTTCCTGCTGAGGCGGCTGGGAGAGCAGGAGCCGTGTCCTCCCCAGCCAACCCCACTGGAGGCCAGATCAGAGAAGGACAAAAGACGCGGGAAAGCTCCAGGGCAGCTGCGTCCCTGCTCGGGCTCTGTAACACAGTGTCAGGGGGACAGTCCCCTGGGGACTTGGATATCATGGCCACCAGAGTCTGGCCCAATTGGGCCGTCCCTGCAGGCCTTGGCCACCACACCCTCCGGGGCCACCACGGGACTGGATGGTGCAAGCCTGCGGCCACCGCGCACATCCATGAGCTCCCTGCAGGCCTGCTGCACACACCGGGCCTGCCACGCTCCACCACGGCTCCCGCACACGCCCACGCAGACAGGTCATGTACGCTTCACCTGTCCCCAGTTCCACCCAGAAACGCCGGCCGTTCCCTCCCGTACCCCATCACCCGCGGTGCAGGCGGCGGCTCTGGAATCCCAGGCTCGCGCACGCATCCACCTCCCTGCCTTGCAGCCCCTCGGAATTACTGGTCCTGCAGTGTCAACATCGGACTTTGAAACGTCTATAAAAACGTGTAATGACAAAACAGTGACAGGAATCTCCTAAATAAAATCTCAGGTGTGTTCTTAGACCACAGCCGTTCATTCCAAGGTGGTAACATTCATCTTTGACTTAACAGAGCTTTTCTAACACGCGGCCATTAGGCCGAAACATCCATCTGGTGCCGCCCTACAGCGGCTCACACATCCCAGAGTCGGGACCATTAACGGATGTATTTTGCAATGTGAATGGACCCAAAGTGACAACCAGGCCGTCGATGGCCCATCAGCGTGGGCCATGTCTGCCAGTGCCCTCCCAGGCGTCCTCCGTGTCCCTGCTAGCATAAGTCTGGGAATGCTGGACACTGTCCACGCGTCCAGCCATTAAACCATGCTTCCCAGGCAGCTACATGCTGTGGGACACGCTTCTGGCCACAGGAGTGGGGACAGACCCTCCTCTTCCTGCTGGGAGAACAGCGCCGCCCGGGGCCATCGGCGTCTCGGGCCGTGAAACAACACGGCCACGCTCGGGGAGCCTGGTGACGTCCAGGGCCAGCCAGGCACAGCCTGGACATCTCGTTCCCCGAGAACAATACCACCAGTGGCTGAATCCACCGTATCTCAGGCCTCGCCGCTGGACTGGCTGGCCCCGGTGTAAAGGGAAGGGGCAGGGTCCCGCGAGTCATGGGGGCCTGTGCTCCCCCTTCCCGGCAGCCCCAGCACTGCTGCCCAGGGCTCTCTGCAAGCACCTGTCTCCTCTCGGACCCAGCTCATCCTCCCAAGCTGTCTGCCCCACGAGTGCCTCCTGGGCGCCCGACGAGATGCGCTCCACTGCGCCCTGCCCGGGCCAACACGGTGTCGCTTCTCCGTGGCATCTCCAGAGCACCACACGGGGAGGTGACCAGCGAGGGCCGGGCTGGCCTGCACCTTGGTCAGGCCAAGTGCCTGGGGCCAGCGAACAGGCGATCGGCTCCTCCTCCTGGCGGGGGCAGCCGGACGCATCTACGTAAAGAGTGTTGCGTGGCCCAGCCCGCCCACGGAGCCACGGACGAGACCAGGGAGAGAGGCCTGCGTTCGGCAAAGGACAGCCCGTGCAGAGGACACGAGGCGCTCCCACACGCCCTAAGGAAAAGGCGAACATGCTGGTGTAGAAATGGACAGACGACACCAGAGCAGCTCCGAGCGGACGCTCGTCACACTGGCCCAGCACCCGGGACGGACAATGCCCAGCGCTGCCCGGCGGCGGCGGCGGGACATGGGCGTGTCCCGGGCCGTGCAGCCGCCGAGGGCAAGGAGGCAGCTCGCCGTCAGGATGGCAGTACCCGCGTCCAGACTGGGCCTCTTGGCTCGAGTCCCAGGGAGACCCGTGCACAACCACGTAGGGCAGCAGGTGCGTGAAACCCGCCACGTCGTATTTGGGAAAGTAGGACGCCCGGACGCCACCCGATGGCCACACACAGGTGCGCCATGCTGGCCCCCGCCACCCCAGCGTCGCAAGAGCCGCTGGAGAAACCAGGCGCACGCGCATCAGCACGGAAAGCTGCAGGACAGCGACGAGCCTGACGCGGCAGGACGCACGGCCATTTAAAACCGCGTCCAGTAAACACGTGAACGCACGGTCGAGGGGCAGGCTCCAGTTGGGGACGGTGGCCCTTGGCGGGGGCAGAAAGCTCCCAAACGAGCCAGGCAGTGGCAGTAAATGCGGGACAAGGCGGCACTCCTGTCTGCGCCGTCAGGTCGTGTGAAGCGTTCCCGCCGCCGGGGGGATGGCGCAGCGAGCGGGGGCCCCGGGACAGGAGCCAGCCTGCCGCGGCTTGGGGCTCTCGGGTCACACTCCCCTAGACCCTGGGCGGCTCCTCAGCCCCCCGTCCTGTAACTGCCCGCGTCGGACAGGGCCTCCCCCCACGGGGGCTCGCGGCACGGTTCGCGGACTCGTCCCCACGTGGTTACGTCCCGCCATCCGGGCCACGGCCGGCCTCTCACCTACGGTTAGCGCCTCAAACAGTCGGTGTATGATGCTGGTGTCCTTCACGATGCCCGACTCCTGAACCCTCTTCACGAAATCGTCCAGCTGCATGTGCTTCTTGGGCAGCTCAAAGTTCTTCACGCGGTCGTCCGGCTTGGGGGCCTCTCCGGGCTTGTCCACCACCTCGCTGATGAGCCGCCGCAGCTCGGGCACCCGCTCGGCCTGGGCGCGCTGGGGGCCCGACAGGGACCCCACCGTCCTCCGAACGAGATCAGCGGGGAAGATCCTGATGTCTGTTTTGTACAGACTCTGGAAGTCCAGGAGGGCGTCCAGCAGCTGCCCGTGCATCAAGTGCACGGCCCCGCGGAGGTAGAAGTACCGCGCCAGGAGCACGGAGCTGTCGGGCGCCAGAAGGCTCATGGCCTTGCTCAGCAGGGCGACGCAGTCGGAGTAGTAGGCCTGCACGCACTGGCCCACCAGGGGGAAGTGGATCTCCGGGATCTTGAACGTGTACGTCGGCTTCGGGGTCACACTCAGAACTAGAGCCGAGAGAAAACATGTTCACAGTCAGCAGACCCGAAAAACAGACCTGGGTCCCCGTCATCTCGTCTGGGTTAACGTTTCTGGGCCCTGGGTGCAACGTCAAGCGAGAGCCTTTATGCCTCTTCCAGAAAGCTCCACGTGCCCCTGAGCTGAATGGGGGCCCCCCCACTCTGCTTCCATGGCACCCTGAGAATACGGAATAATTTTATTTGCTAAGACTCTAGCGCTAAATGGAAACACCTGGTAGTGAGTCTTCCCGGGAGGGTTAAGCTGATGACCTAAGCCCAGATGCGCCCTCTCTGTGAGACGCCCATGGCCATCAACCCCGTCGTACAGACGTGCAAACTGAGGCTTCGTGCGTCCCAGGTGCCCAGCTACTAAATGCCAGAGCCAACCTAACCCAGGTGTCTCACACCGATTCCTTCCACAAATGTCACTGAAGTGCCTCTCAGGTGGCCCCAGGGGACCAGGACCAGGCCAGTCCTGTAGGTAGGCCACGCACCCCACGGAGGTGGCGTCTTTGCCACGAAGCCTGGGGGAGAGGGAGGAGCCTGGGAGGGGAAGGGGGGCTCCAGCTGAAGGTTCAGGCGGCAGAGAGGGCAGAGCGCCTTCCCACAGCGGAGTGAGCACAGCCAGGGGTGAAAAGCATCACTGGGTTTTACAGAAGAACTATAGGTCCAGAGAGGTGAATCACCTGCCCAGGGTCACACAGCCAGGGGGCCACCGTGAGGGGCCTCAGACCCAGCAGGCGCCTCCAGAACGTGTGCTCTGTCATTGAGGACTTTTCTCTTGGACGCACGGCCCCTCCTGAGGCCGGCTGGGTGCGCCCCTCACTCAGACTGCCGCTCTGCTCTGCACGGTCGTCAGGAGGCACCGAGGCAGCGGCCACAGGGCCCCCGGCTCTCGGCGCCTGGCCTCACCCGTTCCTCCTGGCCGCTGTGGATGGAACCACACGGAGGGGGCCCTGAGGGTAAATACCCGAGGCACACGTGGCTCGTTTGCTGCAGCTCACGCAGAAAGGAGACAAGGGCTTGCACACGTGCACACGTGTTCTAGAGCACTTTACACACCAAGGAAACTCCCGGCTGACATTCGGAGCTGTGCACACAGGCCTGCCTCCCCGACGGAGCTGCTGCCGTCACGGCACCCACGGGCCCTTGCTGTCCCTCCGCCTGCCACCTGCCACTGGGGTGGCCTGGCCTCGCCATTCCCTCCGTGTCTGCTGAAACGTGGCTGCCACACCCGAGCCCCCGTCACCACCCCTGACGCCGCTTCCTTTGTGCGGGGACACCGCACACCCCGTCGCTTCGTGTTTATCTGCTTCTGGTCTGGCCTCCTCCCGGGAGCGCAGCTCCGCGAGGGCTGGGACACCGGGCCCTTCGTACCCCAGGATCTAGAGCGAGCGTGGCGCCTGTTGGGGCCTGACAGTGTCGTGTCCGTCAGACGCGGATAGGCGTCAACGTGTGTTTTATATGTACACGCAGACACACCCAGGCCAAACCCCCACCCCCTTGCCCTGAGCAGACCCCGGCTGTGGCAGCGGCCTGCTGCGTCGGAGCCCAGCGGCGGGGGCAGCGCCCGGACAGGGGCCGGTCTATTACCTACGCCGCTGCTGCTGCATTCCGAGGCGTCCACTTTGCGAAGCGACGAGTTCCGGGCCGGCAGCTCGGGAATGGTGATGTCCTGCAGGTTGGGCATGCTGACCACCATCCTCCGGTGCGTGACATGCAGGGGTGAGGATTTCCGTGAGGCCATCTTCTCAATGGTCGGTCTTCTTGGACTTGCCAGCATCCCGTTAAATCTGGGGTCAGGAAAAAGCAACACCTTTTAGCAGCAAGAACGACTGCAGAATACGTCTCAACGCCTGAGCCTCTTCTCCCATGCGATACCCGGTGCCCGCCATTCCCGCGTGCCAGTGGAAAACAGCGGGAGCACCGTGCTGGAGTCTCCGCGGTGTAGCCAGAGGCTGGAAAACAGACCGCACCCCCGAAGGGACACACATAAACAAAGTCTGTCGGGAACAGTGTGGGAAGAGCTGGAACAGCACGGGAGGCAGTGGCGATGCGGCGGGAGAGGGAAGGCGGACGGCAGTGGATGGCAGGGCGTACACGCTATGCTCGGTGTCCCGCCCCCAAGAGAAACGCGCAGGGACGAGCCCAACGTGTTGCACGTTTCTGAATGTGAGATTTTCTGGTCGGATGCGTCATTCATCCACCCAAATAAACCCATGCTACTCGAGCGTCTGGTCCCCATTGCAGACAGCACCTGTCCTCTTCGGATTGCAGGTGGAGGTCCATCTGGGCGAAGGCGTCCATCCTTCCACTAAGCCGGGCTTTAAGGAAAGAGTGAAACATGTAGGTATCCGACACCTGAAACAGACCACGGAAGGCCAGTTACCGCCGCGCTCCTGGCCTTCGCTGTGCCGCCAGGCGCCTGCAGCGGCTACCCGGCCCCTTCCCCGCTGGCCGCGGCCTCTCCCCGACCCTCAGCTGCTTGGACACAAGTTCCCAAGCGGCAGCTGTCTTCACTGACCCCACCCTGCCACGCTAGCCTCCAGATCCTCCCCAGGCCACCACGAAGGACTGGCCAGTCTGTGTCTGAAAAACCACCGAACGTTCAAAAGCTCAACCACCTTCCCCTCATGACGGCAAGAACCACGGTGCCCTGTGGCCTGTGATTCCAGATCTCCGGGGACCACAGCCCCCTCCTCACAGCAGGTGCACGGTCTGGCACGCACCCGTGGCTCCCACGACCCAGCTGCTGGTCTCTCGCTGGACAAGGTGACCCTCCAGCAGCCGGTGCTTGTCCCCACCCTGCTCCCTGCTGTGGTCCAGCAGCCTGCAGGGGACAAGGCCCAGGGGACACCACCCAGCCTGGCGACAGGAGGGCTGCAGGGGCGCAGGGCCCACGAGGAAGGTGTGGAAACCCCATGTACAAAACGCCCGCAGAAGAATGAAGGCAGGAGCGGACACGCAGCGGGATGGGAGGTGGCAGCCTGGCTCCTGGGGACCGCTGGAGTACTCTCCACGAGCCAGCAGAGCACGGAGGCCGATGGCAGGGAGCTCGGCCCAGGCGCCTGTCACAGCTGTGACCCGGCTGCGAACGGGGCTCCCGGCTTTGCTCTGGCCCCTCGTGCGCCCCTGTGGCTTCTCCCTGTGCTCCTCCGTAGTGCCTTTCATGGCAGGGTCTCCTGTGGGCAGCATCAGGCCCGCAGGCCAGGCTCTGTGCCCCGGGGAGTATGTACAGAGGGGGCGGACGGCCGGGGCACCCACGAACGGGGGGAGCGTGGAGTCTGCCAGCAAATGTCAGGGAGCAGGCATGAGGGCATGGGTGGTGCCCGGAGAGAGGTAGAGGCTGCTGGCCGGCCGACGTGAACGACTGCTGTGTGGACCTCAGCCATGAGGGGAGCCGCGGCTCACACACCCCTCTGGCCATCAGCTGGACAGGACGCCACCGAGAGAGGCCACCCGAAAAGCATGAGAACAGCCCTAAAGGACCCAGAAGATCGGCGCCGGCTGCACCACCTGCCAGCACGAAACCCCAGACATGACTCCTCATAACAGACAAGAACGGAAGTGTCCCACAGGCTTGTGAGCGGGTGGACAGAGCCACCGCCACCTCCCGCACCGGATGGAAAGGCCCCGCGGCCGCGCCTGGCACGGGAGCCATCCGGGCTGATGGAGAGGCCCCGACCCGGACCGAGGAGGTGGCTCCCAGGCACGCACGTCTGTCAGAATTTATCGCCCGCTACACTGAAAATGGGTGCATTTCATAACAGGTAAATTATACTCTGAAAAGTGGATCAAAAAACAGGGGGCCAAAGGGACCAAAGGAACCATGTGGAAACAAACTTTCTGGAAACGTTAATACTTCCTAAAATATTAACAGATGCTGAAAAAATGTACTTTGAACAACGCTGCAAATACAGAAACGCATGCAGGACAGAATACGCACACGCGCACACCAGCCCCACTCGCTCCTCACCTGTCTATAAAACTGCTGGTCCCCCGGAGCCCTGGTTTTGAGAAACTCCTCACTATTAAACACTCTGTGTTCGTAATTTAGGTGGTTCTTCACCTCCCTGATGAAGAGAAAGACGGTCTAAGTGTGGAGCTATTTTTAAATACGTGAGAGAGTCATGACGATTTAGCGACACAGGAAAGACGAGAAGGCCAGCCTTTGCAAAAGCTGCGGCCCACGGGAAGGGGACTCCGACCCCGGGAGGGTTGGGTTTGGGCGTGGTCTGCTCCATCTCCTCGGTGACACAAGCACGGCCTTTCCCTCCCAGGGGGACCGTCACGGCCCTCTTCCCTTTCCAGCCCCTACTTCCTCCTGCAGATGACACACAAAGCGGACTCGAGGGGGTGACCCCGTAGGTCGGGCAGACTCTGACCATGAACCCATATGATCTGCCACAGCGGAAGTACAGTCTACACGTGGGATCAACGAGCCCACGGGCCACATTCCACGTGTCAGACATTCAACGCTTTCCTTCCGTTGTCGGGAAAAGTTATCTAAGGGACATAAAGTTTGATCCTTTGTATTCATAGTCTCTGCTTTTTTACGAATTCATCAAGCTTATAAGGTTTAAAAAAAAAAAACAACCCAACCTTGCTCGTGAAAGATTTCATTTCAAAAGAGCAAAATGAAAAGAACCTATTTGTGTCCACACCAATTATACTGCTTTAAGCAGGGATAACACAACCCGTCTACAGTACACAGTCCCATTTTTTTTTCCTGATAAGTTATTTATTCTATGGAAATATATACATTTGAAGAACACAGCCACTGGATAATCACAAAGGCTCTGGTCTAAATCCTGCAGGACGGTGGCACCCACGGGAATGAGGACAAAGAGGAAGGCTCTCTAACGGGGACAGATCCTGAGTGCTGCTGCCTGGGGGGTGGGCTTCATTCCCGCAGTGACCCGAGTGTCCCCACCCTGGGCTGGCCCCGAGCTCTCAACTGGCGCGATACCCCACAGGCGGTCGGGGGCTGGAGGGGCAAGGATTTCAGCCGCGTCACTCGGGGTCGAGCCACCGCGGCCAAGGAAATGGTCTCCAGTACCTGAAGATGCTGAAGAGCAGGTGCAGGGCCACCTGCTGCACCTGGCAGTTGAGTTTCTGCTGCCAGGCCCGCCTGCGGGCGCGCCCCTCGTTCAGGTCCGTGCTGGCGCCCAGGTGTGCGAGGTCCAGCTCGTAGTGCAGCTGGAGGCTCTGGACCCTGGAAAAGAGAGATAGATGCTGACCACAGCTCACACCGTGTGCCGGGACTGCTGTTCACGGGCGGGGAGAAAGCTCTCCCAGGTGCGTGAACACTCCGGACGCTTGGAAGACCCATCAGGAACTTCTGGCCTGGGTCACTAAAAATACATCCCTGGAGAGTCCACTCACCACTCCATGCTAACAGCTCATCGGTGCTGAACCTGCAAAAGCCTCCACTGTGGACCGTGCACGTTTTCACCCAAACCGAATCCGTCCCTCCCCCGGGCTCCGCCTGGAGAGATCATGCACTCCCCACCCCAGGAAGGACAAGGGGTTTCCAGCGCAGGCTGCCTCGTGGCCGGCAGCTTCCCACCACCACGCCCTGCCTGGGAGAATCGGATGCACCCAACGCCCTGTGTGTCAGGGCTCTCGGCTGCCCGGCGGAACCCTGTGTCCGTATACCGTGCACTGGCATTTGGCCACCCCGGCCTCCCCAGCACGATCAAGGCCGCAGCTTTGGAAACCAACCAGCAAGCGTGCGGTTTACGTGCAGAAGACACACACCCAACACACACCCATCCCAGCCGTGTTTCCTGAGCACCCGCTGCATGCCTGATGCCATCTGGGTGTGGGCTGCATGGTGACCAAAGGCGAAGCTCCCGGGTGGGGCCTATGTTCAAGTGGGAAGAAACAGAAAAACAGAAGAATGCACCCCAAATAGGAGGTCGTGGGGGTGGGGGAGGGGAGGAGGGGATCAGAGAGCAGGACAGCTGGAAAAGGCCTGGCTGGTGGCTGGAGGGGCCTCTTGAGGACCTCGGACCTGAAAGGTGAAAAGCCAGACACACACAAACGGCCCTGAGCAGGTAGGGAGCACCCAGCTGCCAGAGGTCCCACAGGAGCTGTGGCGGGTGGGGGAGGCGGGCTGAGACCAGGTCTGAGTGGTCGGCGGAGCCGGGGTGGGCCGGGGAGCGCTCTGGATTTGCCCCGCGTGTGACAAGAAGCCACTGCTGGAGACAGGTGTCCCAGCCCGGCCGACCCCAGCTGACCTGTTGGGTACCTGCCACCTGGAAGGATCGTGAGCTGGCCACGCACCCGCAGCACCGGGGCGCCGCGGGGAAGGAATCCGTACGGAGCCGTGGTGGCGGCCTCCCCCCCCCGAGCTCTGTGCAGGGACGACCCCTCTGCTGGAGGAGAAGGCTGTCCCTCCTACCTGAGCGCTCTGAGACAGTCTGCCCGGGAGGGCTGGGGTCCCTGTCCTGCCCCCGGGAGGTGGGGTCAGCAGGGGGGACACCGTGAACACACAGTCAGATGCAGGTGAGGATGACGGGGGACGGAGAGGGTGAGTGGGATCGGGGCGTCTCGGGGAAGAGCGCTGCCTCCTGTCCTGCCTGCCCCACCAGAGGGCCCGTGTGGACACCCCAGCACTCCAGGACCCCCGGGGACGCTGCCCACCACTGCCCGGTGCAGCCTCAGAGCCTCCACAGATGGGCCACGACCACACGCGGGTCAGCTCACGTGGTCGAGACGGGAGGAGGCACCACACCCCATCCATGTGGGGTCCAGCCAAGCAGAGACGCAAGCCGCTGTGCATGTTCTAGAATCCTGACAATGCCACACAGGCAAGCGCGAGACCCCCCCTCCCCCTGGGGATGCGCCACCAAGCGCATGCTCGAGAAGCACCAAACGCTAGCGCCCGCCGGCGCTAAAATGTCAGACTCTGAGAGTCGGCGGAAAGCGGCTTTTGCTCACCAAAAAGTGAACAATTACAAATGTAGATTCGCACAGGGAGACACTCCACCAGCACACCCTGCTCAGGTCCCCTGCACACACCCAGCAGCCGGCCACGACCGGGGATGCCACGGTGCTGCCCTGTCCTGGATGGCCAGACGCCCCGACCACGGGACGCACCATCGTCCTGGCAGATGGCAACGAGAGCTCCTTCACCCTCCCCAGAAGCAGCTCCGGAAGTCCTCGACCCCCACGACAGGCCGCAAGGCCTAACCTGGCCCTTCTGGGAAGCAGCTGCTGCTTGCAGGCCAAGGACGTGGGCAGCAGAGCTGGAAAAACCATACGAGCGATGAGCAAGGCAGGAGGCCGTAAGAGCGCTCCTGGGGGCTGGGGTGAAGACAGGAAGACCTCTCGCTCGGGGGTGGGGTGCCCACCTCTGCGCTGCAGGGCAGGGCAACACACAAATCCTGCCCTGCGGGGGGAGCGGCGTCCCACGGGTCTGAATACGTGTCTCATGTGGGGGTGGAGGGGGAGGAAGGGAAGAGGAGGAGGAGAGAAGGGAGGAAGGAGGGAGGGAAGGGGGCAGGCAGGAGGGGAAGGAACCTCAAAGGTCCCAGGCAGACCACAGGGTCACAGAGAGAGGGTGGGAGGTTCCCTGAGGAATGATGAGACCATCATCTGACTCGGTGGGGCCGTAATTACTATGTAGACAAGATCAGAGTAAGGACTAATGACTTTCACTTTAAAACATTCACGAATAATTTCCAAACTATAAAGACAGAAAGGGTGGCTCTGGAACGTACATGGAAGAGCTACTCAAGACACTCAGAGCCGGCAAGTACAGAGTGGAACAGGGACGTCCCCAAGCACACACGACTCCCACCTCTACCTCTGAATGAAGGTCTGTGCCGCGAGCAGGGGGACGTCCGGGACATCGACGTCCTCGTCATTAGAGCAGGTGACGCTCCCGTTATCGATATTGATCAGAATTAGACCATCAGCTTCCTGTAAGTTTGAAGAGATTGATGTAAGAACCTGAATTTGTAGACATCTTTGAAAACACAAAAACACACTTTGCGTTCCCTGAGGTAGCGTTGCTATTGATTAAATCACCATACTTAACACGTACACAGCGCCTTATACTGTCCCTACCAAAAAATGTAGGATATGCTGTGAGTCATGTCAACAAGCCAGATTTGGTCAAATCCATCCCAGGCTGAGTCAGGGTTCCATAGTGTCATCTGGCTTCCCCTGCCCTGGTATAAACACTCTGTGGGCCACTTCAGGGAACCTGGAGGGAACATGCCAGAACTGGAGTGTGGGCTGGGCCCCGGCTCAGTGAGCACACACACTTAGGATGTCTGAACTATGTGCCCGGGTTCCTTATAAAGCCTGATGTGTAACGAGATACACAGACACTGAGTCACGCTCTGGAGTCCCGCATCCAGCAGCCCCAGGAATGTGGCGGCCCCGGGCTCTCAGAAGGCCGCCGCTCCCCCTTTGGGCCCAGCTCTGAATGCCTGTTCCAGGTGGCACATGAAGCGAGCACACGCCGTCTCCCAGCGCACTGACTGGGCACTGACTGGGCAAGGTGAGCACTCTCGCACACGCATGCTACACGACTGTGTCCAAGGCCCCAGCCCTACAGAGGAAAACGTCCAAACCCAACCCACGCTCTTCAGCCTGCTGCCTGTCCTGAAATCTCCCAGAACATGTAAATCCCTGTGCGGGCCTCCTTCGTGACTGTGGACGGGAGCTGTCAGGTGGATGTGCCCACAAACGCTCCCCGGGGAAGGGCCTGAAACAAGATGGTTTTTTCCCTAATGACTAAGACAAGACACACATTTTCAACTTCAGAGCATGGCCCTATTTCTTCCTCATTTGCAAGGCAGACTGGGAGACATTTTCCATTCCTTCCATGAAGGTCTGAACGGCCTTTCCCCAAAGTGTGTTTGTCGCTTGGTGAGTCACTGGCTTTGGCAAGAACTCGGCGAGAACCTGGCTCCTCCCCGGGAGCGGCCGGGCCGAACAGGGCACCGGGCACCTTCCCGGGATTTGCTCTGAAACGCTCCAGGCCCCCGTGCAAAGGTGCTCCAGTGTCAGTCGCTGGGGAAACGCGCATCAGATCCGCCGTGAGACGCCGCGTCCCCCTTGCCTCGACGGCCAGAAGGACACACGGGGCCGGCGCTGGCAAGGCGGCAGAGGATCGCAGCCCCACACTGCTGGCGGGAATGCGCTCACAGCCCGGCCTCCCCTCCAGCAGCTAGACGGCTAGCGTCTGCGGCGGGTGCGTACCCGCGCGGGGGAGAGCACACGCTGCACGGAAGCTCGCGCGCACACGAGGGCTCGCAGCTGCGCGGGCACAACAGTCAAAAGTCGAAACAACTCTAACGTCCATCGACCGATGAACGGACAAACGAACTGTGGCACGTTTGCACAACGGGATCCTATTCAGCAGCAAGAACCACGACTACGTGGATGGACGGCATGGACGACCCTAGAGCACGCTGTGCTGAGCGAAGGAAGCCACTAACGGCCAGCTACGGGCCTCAAACCATGCGTGTGGAACGGGCGAATCCACGGACACAGAAGCGGGTGGGGGTGGCCAGGGCGGGCGGAGGACAGCGTGGGGCGACGCTGAGGCACACGGGGCTTCTCTGTGGGTGCCGAAAACGTCGGAAATTAGTTGGCACAACTCTGTCAAGTGACTAAGAGCCACTGAATTGCACATTTTAATCAGGCAAACTTCGTGGTATTTTATGTGAATAAAGGTGTTTTAGAAAGCCAAACCTGCTCTGCCTGCTGACAATATCACAGTATTACCAATCCACGTTAGCTCACCATCTAAATGTACATTATTAAGCACTTACTGTATGCCAAATGCTGTACTATTGGCCCTTTTGGTCCTCCCCACGATAATGGGGCCCGCACACTTACTGCTGTTAGAGGATCTTTGTTCCCTTCCGTGCCCGCGGCTCTTGGTCGCACCGCTTTGAGGAACAAAGAGGTGACCAGATGGAGTGGTGGGCAGCAGGGCGAAGTTTATTGAGCGATAGTACAAAGTTGCCCGAGAGGGTTGCCATTTCGGCATTCAAATCCCGGGGTTTTTTATAAGCTCTTCTGAGAAACTATCTTGAGCATCCTGAGTGTGGGCCCCTGTGGACTGGGCGCTAAGGTGTGCCAATCAGGGCTTTGACCATGCCCCCATCTACCTATCGGGTTATCGTTCCCGTGTTGATGGTCTTTCGGGCTGACATCTGGAGACTAACTGCCTCAACTTGTGACAGTGGTTAATTGTTTTGTTTCCAGATGTTTTGCAAAAGTCACTCCTGCAGAGGCCATTAGCACGCTGTCATGGTCTCGTCTAAGGTGTAAAGCAGGATGCTAGTGTGGTTTTGTCTTAGTTGTCCTGGCGTTTTTGCCTTCTTGTCGGGGACCCTGACCCTGATGACCTAAGTGTCCAATTAACCTCTGTCTTTTCGACTAGGACACAAGAGGGCTGAACGCTCTGCCGAAGGTCAAGCACAGTGTGTAAACGGTCACTGCGTGCAGCAAGGCCCACGCACCCACTGACGCTGTGAGTGACACGCAGCGTGGCCAGGCATCTTCGCGCAGGAGGGCCCACAGCATTACTGAACAGCAGAAGCTGAACCACACAGAGAAACACAGATCTGGAGCAGGGACACCAGCCGCTGCGGGCTGCCGAGCCCCTGCCACGTGCCGGCAGGTGCGGGGTGGTCCCCACTCAGAGCCTGGCCCAGGAGGACATGCCCGCTTCAGAGGCAAGGAGGCTGAGGCTCGGCAAGGGCTGGGACCGCACTCGAGGCCGCAAAGCGAGAAAGGGGCCACAGCCGGGCCAGAGAGCGGGCTCCATCAGCGTCGACGCCCGCACTCTCCTCGCTGGAGCTGCGGGAAGCCGCGGACCCCCGGGAATTTAAGCGGACTGGCAGGTGACACGGGGTCCCGGCGCCCAGGACCCCACGGCCTTGAACACGCCCGGAGGACCGCAGGGGGATGGCGCAGACGCGCGAGAGCACCCTGCGTGTGTGGCACCCAGGGCACGAGCCGCGGGGACGGGAGTGACCGCATTCTCCCTGGCCTGGGCACACGGCCCTCCCTGCGGGGCCCTTTGGAAGCCATTCCCCGCCGGTCCCCGCAGGGGTCACAAGGATCCGACATTCTCTAGCAAACGGTCGAGGCCTAACCTTGCTGACTTCTTCCAAGTGGTCGAGGTGACAGCCCATGAGGAAGGACGTTGGCGCCATGACGAAGTCCAGCATCTGGTGCGACAGGACGGGCACAAAGGTGTGCTGCCACTGCAAGGGGTGCAGGTAGGCCAGGAAGCACTCGGCAACCAGGGGCAGCAGGGCCCAGTTGGAGGAGAAGAACACGACCCGCTGCTCCGTCAGGAGGCACGTTAGGATCTGGGGGGGACCAACAACACCGCGTGCACTGAATACACGTGTGATCGCGCCGCTAAAACCACAAGGGCTGACATCTGCCAAGACGAAAGCCCCTTTAGCCCCCCAAAAGCACCACTTGTGAACAGCATACACAGTCCTGAACGTCTGCTTGAAGCCAAAGAGCAACCATTCCCAGTGCGTTCTGGAACACGCGTGCCTTGGCATTGCCCTCCAGACGACGACCGCTTAGATGCCCCACTAAGCCAACCAGCAGGGACGCCCCGGGTGCAGAGGGACGCATACCTGCAGCACCTTCTCGGGCCTGAAGCACAGCAAGGGCAGGTGAAGGTCCAAGTCGATGAGCGGGCTCTCAGGGTCCGCACGGGAGGGAAACACGATCTGTAGCGGCTTCATGTTAAATATCTGTGACGACCAAGTTCCGTCATTAGTTCAGAGAGCCGCTCCCAGCAGAGGCCGAAATGCACTGAGACTCTCAGTTTAGTCTCCAGGGGTGTCTGCGTTAGGATACGTGTTTGAAGACTCACACTGTCACTGCGTATGTCACAGAACAAAACAGTCTAGAGACACACGGAACCGCTGAGAAAGGCCCATACATGGATCAAGTACTGAATGTCTTTTTCAGCCAATCTTCCCTAAACTCTCTAATTCATTAGCAAACCGCTCATCGGCAAAGATTAACCGACGCCCGGACATGTGTCCAAATCAGCACAGGTTCCAAGTCAAGCATGATCAGGTGAATCTTAGCTAGAACACTTACTGCATATTACGAATTCTCTTAGCATTTTCAACATAATTGTCAAAGCTCCTTAAAGACATGGACTTCAAGAAATCGCTGAGAAAGACTTTATTTCTCCAAATGACAGTATTTCAAAATAACATTTCAATTTGAATTCAGTATCTGCAGAATGCCCTTTCTGGATGGAGGGGGACGGTATGGGCCTTGCAGCTCGATGGCAAGTTCGCTCCTGACCGTGGGGTCAGCCTCGTGGGGGGGCACCCAGGAGTGCCCCCGGAGCCCCGGGGGTCATCGGAATGGAGTGACCCGAGTGTGAGCAGTGCCAGGCCGAAAGCACAGAGAGAAGATTCTCGAATCGGAGACAGAGAAGCTCCCGCCAGGAAGAGTGTGGAAGGAGGACACACGGAGAGACGTAGAGCACTGGCTAGGGAAGAAGGTTCCAGAACAAATGTTCGCCATCCACACCTCCTCACACCCATGTCACCACAGCTCTGTGTGAACACTCGTGCAGAGAACCTGAGGACAAGGGAAGACTTCTTTCTGCAAGTGTCCTCTGACGGCACCGTCTTGTCACCCACAGGTCTGCAGAAGCAAGACACGTCAGAAACAAGGCAGACGTGCTGTGTGGACGATAACATCCTCTTTATTTAAAACAAAACAAGGTAGAGCAGAGTTACGTGCTCCCAGTGATGATGAACTACGAAAAATTGTAAAGTTTATATTTCAAAAAATAAACGTGTCAACCGGCTTCCCAACTACAGATAAAAACTAAATACAAATGCCAGTCATTCTATGATGCTGTTGGGCCCCTGGGACATGTCCACTGCAGCGCGTGAGACCCACACCCTCTGAGCTGGGCTCCGCTGTCCCCCCACCACCTTATCGTGAAGAAACTGAGGAGGGAGAGAGATTTTGGGGAAACACTTTCCAAATTTCAGCTTGACTGTAGCCCCAGGCAAACAACAGGTTCCCCACACAAAGCAACACAGGAAGTGAGTCAGGTAGAGAGAGAAGGAAAATGCCCATTTCGCGTGCACACCCAATAACTTGGCCCGTGCTCTGAAAGCACATAAAATCAGACCCGCTTGTGGGCAGAGAAGCGGCAGAGCGGGCCCAGGGGCGCGGGGTGTCTTTGCTGCCCTCGGGCCGGTGGTCCAGGCGCTGTCCACCAAAAGGGCACGGAGCCAGGCTGGGCCAAGGCTGGGTGCCGCCTCCCCTGTCACAGACCGGAGGTGACCCACCCAGCACCCACGCACTTGACTCTCAGGAATCACGGTTCCCGAGCACTAGCTACAAGCCTCTCCATCGACATTCATTTGCAGTGGGTTCTGGAAATTCCTGCTGAATTGGCTCCTGGGTTAGAGGAGAACCTTGGCTCGCGTTTCTCCAAAACAAGAAACAGCCACGGGGCTCAACACTACCAAAGATGGGTCAGGGCCACGTATCAACGGGGGCCCCAGAGCTGGTGAGGCTGCCAGGGAGGATCACAGCGGCAAGCCTGAGCCAGGCTCAGCTCGTTCGGACGAACACGCAAGAACCAAGACGCAGACCCCACTCTGAGAACACGACAGGCTGAGCCTGAAACACGACGCATCCGTTCATTCATTCGCTCAACAGCGGGCGCGGTAACAGCGCCGAGCATGCAGCTCTGCACGGGCCCTCTTCCTCATGCCGCTCGGAGGCCGATGGAGAAAACAAAACACACACGTGCGCGAGCCCCAACCGCAGACTGTGCTGGGCTCCACAGGAAGGGAGCGGGGCACAGAGCGGCGGGGTGGGAGGTCACACGGAGGCTGTCCCGAAGAACCTGACCTCCAGGAACAGCACGTGCGAGGGGCAGCCCCTGCGAGGGATGGAGACCCAGTGTGGCTGGACAACAGTGAGCGAGGGGGTGAGGCTGCACACAGCGCAGACGACACAGGGGCCAGGGATGTAGGACTGGCTGCAGGTACACAATGAGAAGCCATTGTGGGGTTTTAAGCACAAAAGGGGAGTCCAATGGATAGATGGTAAGTCCCTGCAGCCACTATGCAAAGGATGAACTGAATGAAGGGTCAAGAAAGGACGTGGACAGACCAGTGGCTCCCCAAGTCACACAGTGGGAGAAGCCGGTGGCCCCACATGAGGGGCTGGCCGTGGCCAACTGGAGGCAAACGCTGGGAGCTGGCTGGTCAGGGGTGAGTGATGGATGGAATGCAGGGGTGAAGAGAAGAGGTGTCAGGAACGACCCCCAGGAAACTCTCTCACAGGGGTGGGTAAAAGTCGGAGAACCAAATATGAATTAATCCAAGATTCCAAGGTACAGAAAACTGGTACAGATGTGGTTCGTGCATTACTCATGCTCGAAGGCAGAACATAATACGTAGGGTTAACCCTCAAACTGTCCTGAACTCGGTTTTGTTCACTGCTTAGCCGGTCCTCAGGGAATACTTGTTGAGTGAATAGAGCAAGAACAGAAACTTTGATGACTTCAGTGTACCATAAAAAACCACCAATTATCCACGTAATAAAGATGACGGCCTTGCACAAAACAAGTACCCAATAAATGTCCCTACAAAGGTTTCTGGGAGCGGAACCAAGGTACTCAGGCAACCTTGTCTGCCTCTGGGCCTGGAATGCATCTGGCAGGATTCCCCCCACCCCCACCCCACACACTGTAGGGTGGTATTAAAAATATACATTTTTAAGTTCATAATCACATGTCTCCAGCGAAATAAAATTAATTTTTCAACTGTGAATAATAATCAATACATAGAGAACCGAGATCTCTATGTCTAATCTTCCAGAAAGGACTGAGTGAAATAGAGTCGACATTTATGACCGGCTTCGAGACGCTAATTTGGCGGGTGCCTGTTTGAGAATGAGGAAGCGCCCGGTGGTTGCGTCAGTCTGGAAAATGCTGAGCCAGACAGGGGTCGTCACGGCTCGGCCATCTTGGCCCGTTACGCAGCAAAGAGGGAACGCGGGAGGCCTTTCTGCAACTGTCCTTAGCCTGAAACCCTTGCGTGGTGAGAGAGCCAACAACATCTCAGGACAAGCGTGCCAGGGAATCCAGATCCCCGGAAACGCTTGGCCACTCATTCAACAGCACTGGGAAAAACCAAAAAATAGGAAGCCAGGTACTTTTCATTAATCACCCTGGACAGGAGAAAACATGAACCGATGTAATACAGTACCCAATATTCCAGACAAATAAACCAAAGGAACATTTGTAATTTGAGTAAATTCTGTATGTTTTTTGCACAGCAAGTAACGAACCGATGTGTTAAGCACTAAGGGGACCCATCACAGGCTCCACACCGCATATCACGGGCCACCAGGCAAACTCATCTTTAGAAATGGCGTAATAAGATGATTCTGTAAGGAACTTGAGAAGCATAATTTAAACACACTGGAACATAAGAAACAGTTTAAAACATTAAAACCATTGTCGTCATAGGACTTTTACTATTCACAAAGACAAAATTTCAGATTTAATTACCAAGTGAAGCGGTCCAGGCGGCGGGCTAGGTATTAAAGACAGTTTTGCAGCAAAATCTTTTATGTGATTGTCAACTTCAAAATCTTTACAGAGCTTCAGGTGAGTCAACAAACTAAAATAAAAAAAAAAAAAATCACATCACAAAATAAGTATCAGCCTCCAATTGTCATTTTAGCATTTCTAATCAGCGCTGACATGTCTGCCTGCGCCGGCAGCCCCAGGCCCTTCCAGCAACAGGGGGACGACCCCCCGGACGTGAGACAGCAGGGCATGGCCTGCCCAGGGTCGGAGCCTGCCTGCAGGGGGTGCCGGGGAAGTGGGGTGTTGGCGGGCTGGTCATGTTCTTTTCTTGCTGTGGCTGCTGATTACACGTCTGGAATTCATGCAATTTCTGTCTGGGTCATACTTCAGCAGCGAGTAAACATCTCAAAGGAAAGTGCTTGACCACATCTGTTTCCCAAATACATTCTGACTTTTGAAGTATGGTTGGCCCTTGACCAATGTGAGGGGTTAAAGGCGCCCACCCCCGACGCAGTTGAAAACCTGCGTAGAACTTCTCACCCCCCCCAAAATCTTAACTGCTAATAGCCCGCTGCTGACTAGAAGCCTTACCGATGACACGAACAATTAACAGGTATTTTGTATGTTATATGCATTATATGCCGTATTCTTACAATAAAGTGAGCTAGAGAAAAGAAAATGTTTTTAAGAAAATCCTAAGGAAGAGAAAATACATTTACATTATGCATTTACATTACTGTATTTGTCGAAAAAAATCGGGTGTGTGTGGACAGGCACAGTTCAGACCATGCTGTTCAAGGCACAGCCGAAACCGATTGAAACGCATAATGGACCAGCAGGTGCCTGGGGTCAGAGGGGCTGGGCAGCACCACAGGGCGTGAGGGAACTTCGGGGGTGGTGAAAATGTTCTCTGTCTTAACAGCGGTGGTGGTCACATGGTGTCTACATTTGGCAAAATGCAGCCAACTGCCCCAGACACCCTGCCTGGGTGTCCTGGGGCAGACCCCGACCTTGCCCAGCACAGCAGGCCCCACGCGGTCCCGGCAAGCCGCGCGCTTACGCTCTTACTTTAGTAACAAATCATAGCTCTTCCTGAGTCAGTGTCAGGACTTGGAGATAATTCAATATTCCTCCACATTTTATTTATTGTAAAAGAATAGTATCAAGTTTAAAAAATAAAAAAGAACAAAGACTTTCCATAATCTAATTTCGCAAACACAGCTAAGCATTCTCTCCCAATTTCTGTCCACACAGAGGCATAGTTTACATGCTACCATTATAGCAGAAAAACAGATTTTAAAAATGTATAAATCTATGTTTATAAAGTGCCGTTTGGATTTCTGTTATTTGTTTTTCTACTTCCTAGTTCGGGTCATTCAGCGATGAGCGTCGAGAGAGAGAACACTCAAGAAGCGTGGAAACTGAACACGTTTTTCGAGTTAAACATTCGTTTCCATCAGTGTCTAGCAGGATGGTATTTGTGGGGAGTCACACATGAATGATCACGTGTACAAGGTCTGAGAAAGTGGCGCAGGGGCTGCCCTCCTCGGAAGGAGGGCGACAAGCGGCCGGAACCTGTTCCGTTCAAGAAAGGGTGTAACCACCCCCCCCCGCCACTTCACAGACGAGGAAACTGAAGAGGGGTGGACAAGCCATCTACCTTCAGGTGCTGAAGATTATCAGTTAATTAAGAAAAGGGGACCCTGTCCTGATTTATCATCCCTTCACCGCCCACGTCCGGGCAGACATGCATTAATGAACGCACACGCGCTCAAGTCCTGGAGGGAGACCAAGCGAGCGCTCTGTTCTCTGTCGGGGGCAATAAAACCCAGGCTAGACCCAAACCATGTGCAAAGACCAGCCACATTCTGAAAACTAAAACACTAAGGTGCTGGAACTTGAGTTCCCAAAGTTGTGAGTTTGGTCAGGAAGGATTCCTGCTCGTCCCTCTGACCACAGTGTGAGAACCACAATGACGGTCTTTTCCAGGAGTCTGACTTGCCAGGGGCGGCGGGTGGGTATTACGACATTAAGGCAAACCTCCGTTGACCGCCTCTGTGTTTAACAAAACCACCATGAATTCCAAGACTAGAACTTGGTGAGAATGAAAACCAGGAGGCCCGGGTGCGTGTGGCCGGGGGCTGGACCGTGTCCACACGCCACGATCATCCCCCGACAACAGGCGGTGAGCGCGATGCTCTCTGGAGTTTTCAAAACTTCTCTGTCCTCAGGCTTTCTACTCAATATCAGCATTAAGGCACTCAAAGATTCCACCCCCCAAAAAGAAAATTTGTTAACTGTCATGAACTCAACAGGACTGACAGTGGCAGTCTCCTGATTCTCTCAGCCAGGAGAAGAGCCGTTTCTGATGGACATCTTTTTTAAAAAACCAAACAAACATAAAATCCTCCATACTAATCTTACTTCCCACAGTTTGGTTTCATCCTCCCTTGTCTGGCAGACCTTCCCCACACGCTACCACCTCCGGAAGCCTCTGGGCCTTCATGGAGCGCCCGTGGCCAAACCAGAGCCTGCCCACGGCCCACCAGCGCCGGGGTGGCCTCGCAGACACATGGGCAGCGCGCGGGCTCACCAGGACAGGCAGTCCTTGAGGGCGTTGTAATAGGGGAGCTTGGAGACCACGCACACCGCGAAGGGTACGAAGCAGCCAGCCACGCCTGCGGTCGGCCAGGACGGCTCCCAGTGCGCCTTGCCGTTGTAGAAACACGACTCGTCCTGGAGAGAAAGCAACAGACCCGTGTCACCTCCTGACCCAGCTGGTTCCGGCTTCTATCCTCAGCAGCGTGGGCCTCTGCAGACAGAAGTGAGAGCACAGGGGCCCAGACAGCATCCTGCTCCCCCACCGCCCAGCCTGCGCTCCCTCCTGTGTCACCGTGAGTCCCAGTCAGTGTGGACGGGCCCCCCCGGTGTCACTGTGAGTCCCAGTCAGCGCGGACGGGCCCCCCCGGTGTCACCGTGAGTCCCAGTCAGTGCGGACGGGCCCCCCCGGTGTCACCGTGAGTCCGTGAGTCCCAGTCAGCGTGGACGGGCCCCCCTGGTGT